TTTCTTTGCTGAAAGAAACTGTCAATGAGTCCTTGATTGATCAATATTGCATGTCTCTATCTGTTTTCGTGAGAAACCACTTTGAAGATTTCAAAGTGTAATACAACAAGCATTGTTAATTTCCTACAACTTTGTTTGTAACTCTGTATTTTCTGTAGTGTTCTTTTGCTATTTTGTAAAAGGTTGTCTGTCTGTTAATGTTTTCCTCCTTTTATTTTTAAAATAAAAAAATAAAAAATAGAGTTCATAAAAGTAGCTATATCATAGGTTTTTGGAAGGATTATATCATTTAATGTGGGCAAATTATTTAGAACAATTAATGTTAGCTATCATTTCTTGAGATAAGTGGTATATGTGAGTAGGTGTGTGTGTGTGTGTGTGTGTGTGTGTGTGTGTGTGTGCTCGTGCATACTAGAATAATATCTTTACATACTAGAATAATATCTTTACATACTAGAATAATATCTTTACATCCTTTCTGTTCAGTCCCTCCAGCAATCCTCTAGCATTTAGCGCTCAGGATCTTCATGGTTGGTATCTTCCTTCAGATCTTTCCTGTCCTTCTGTGTGCTGCCTCTTCCCCACAGGAACTTCTAGTTCTTGGATGCACTGGAGGACCTTGGGGACCCCAAGTGATATATAAGGTAAGGAGAATAACTACAGAACAGGTGTCTTTGAAACTTCTAAAGGGATTCAAATGCATGAGAGACAGGAGGTCCTGAGAATGTCTTGTGATTGTAATAACTACAACCTTGTACTTTTAGGTGAATTTTAGTCAAGTTTCCTTTATGGACAGATAAGCAACCAGGTCCAGGCATACACAAGGCCTCACACTTTGCATCCCCCAAGTTCTGTTGATTTTATTGTCTTCCTACATTTTACTTATTTGCAATGTTTCACTCAATCAGATTTTTTGGGTACATTTTAAATGTACATAATGATCACATTCACCATAGAGAATTTTTAAAATCTACATGATATAACCTGATTCTTTTTTTCCCCATTCTCTTGTCCTCCCTTCAACCTCTTCTTCCCTCCCCATTTACTAAAGCTTTTCTTCCATTTTCCTTTTCTCATTTTTTTTTACTTTTCCATTCTTTCCTTTTCCTCTCCTCCCCTTCTTACTTCCCCTACCTACTTGAACATTTC